GTGCGAACAGTTGCCATCTTCACGACAGGGGAGTACGTGTTTGAATGGAGGCGAAGGCCGCGTCGGCGTCAGCTTGAACGATGACGAACCCCTTTGCGACTACGAATGCGGCGCACGTGCGAACAGTTGCCATCTTCACGACAGGGGAGTACGTGTTTGAATGGAGGCGAAGGCCGCGTCGGCGTCAGCTTGAACGATGACGAACCCCTTTGCGACTACGAATGCGGCGCACGTGCGAACAGTTGCCATCTTCACGACAGGGGAGTACGTGTTTGAATAGTCGATCCCTTCTACTTGACTGTAGCCCTTGCACACCAAACTGGCCTTGTAACGAACTACGACGCTGTCGGAGTTGGTTTTTTTGGCGTATGTCCACCCGATTGCCTTTCGTCCTGGTGGTAGAGACACAAGTTTCCAGTCTCGACGCCGTTGAGCTGCTTGAGCTGAAGTTGCTCGGCCTTGGTCCATTCGTCCCGTAGTCGCGACGCCATGGCCTCCCTGTGGCTGTTGGGTACGTCATCTGTGATCGGCAAGACCAAGCAAGCAAACTCAACTCTATCCACCGTCATCGATATCGAAACATGGTCTTCCTCATTCGCGGCGTTGGCATCGCCGCGGGTTGCTCGGTTCAGGTCGCGCAGGACACCGTCAACGGGGTCGTTCCCTTGACGGTGGGTGGGTGCTTCATCCACATATCTGGACGGAGTCCTCATGGTCGTTCTGTCGCGCAGGACATTCCTCGATTTTCGCTCGCAGTGGAGGGCACGTACGTACGCGTCGGTCCTGGTGTGCCGATCTCCGATGAGTCGATGTTGAACCCTTTGTAGAGAGTACTGGCGTCGCCGGTGAACGTTTTCGGTGGGACCTTGAAGTGGCTTCGGCGCTTGGTGGCGGCGGTTGTTTGGTGGCGTGGCGCTGTCATGGGGGTAGTGGTGAGTCTTGGCTGGTATGTCTCCCCTTGGATAAGAGCTTCTTCATCTTCGTCGTCATCATCGGTCGTGATTAGGAACTCATCAATGGGGATTCGTTCCCCGATGAACTCGTTCTCGCGGAACTGGACGTGGACGCTGGTGACCATCTTCTGGTGCTCCAGGTCGTATAGTTTGTACGCCTTCTGGTGTTCAGCGTATCCCATCATCACGCACTTCGTTGCTTTGGGTGCGAGTTTGTCCCTCTTTTCAGGCTCTTTCATGAGATTGTAAGTCACGCATCCGAAGACCCGCGACTTGTCCAAACGCGCTGGGTGACCGGTGATGGGTGACCGGTGATGGGTTGGATGGGGTACTGGTGGCTCTGGGACCGTGCGGCACTCGGGTTTTGGATGAAGACGGCCATGTTTACGGCCTCCGCCCACCACCGTTTGGCCATTCCGGCGTGGGACAACAAGGCCATGGCCATTTCCATAGTCGACCGGTGAGCGCGCTGTGCCATCCCGTTTTGCCACTGATTCGTTGCTGTAGACGTCTCATGCGTGATGCCCCACTTGGCCAGTGCATCGGCGAACGTGGTGGATAAGTATTCGGGGCCGCCGTCGGAGCGGAACACTATGCCGTCTGCGCCTTGGCCCACGCCATGATCTTCGCAAAGTTGTCGTGTTGGGTGGCACTGTCAGTGGAATTGACGAAACGTACGACTTTCATGCCCGAACCGGCGTCGACGTACACTGTGTAATACTTGCACCCGCCGACTGACGCTGTTCTCATCGGCCCCTTGGTGTCCGACACCCAGCATTCGCTAGGCTTGAACGATCGCGTGTGCGTCTTTGGACGTGAGATCTTCGTGATCTTGATCTTGACGCAGCACTCACATTTCTTCCTCAGCTCGTGTAAGTTGCCCGGCGTGCCAAGGTCCATCGAGCTGCAGCGGTTGATCGCGGCAACGGATAGGTGTCCTACTCGTTGATGCCAGAGGTTTGACGTATCGTCTGCAGATTTCTTGCGTGGGTTGGTCACGGCGCTATTGCAGTGCTCAACGGTGGCTTGGTCGAGGACGTACACGTTGTACCTTGGATCCAACGTTGCCGTTGCGATTGATACGGAATCGTGATTGATGCTGCAGCCATTGGCCTTGAAGGTGAAGGTGAATATCGGGTCTTTGCGCATCATGGCTGTCACAGACAAGAGGGTGGACGGCATATTGTCGATAACTAAAACGTTTTCCTTGACCAGGGTTGCCCCTTTGTCGGTGGTGAACCGCATTGTTCCCATCTTGGTCGCGCGTGTTCTCGCCCCGTTGGCGACGACAACCGCTCGGTCGCACATTTCCAAGTTTGTCAGCCGGGTGGCATCCCCCATCATGTGGGCCGATGCCCTGGAGTCCACCAGTACACGGCCACGGGTGTCGACAGCGTGGAAAACGACGGCGTCCTCGTCGAATGCGGCGAACGTCCACACGTCTTCGTCTAAAGAATAGTTCCCCGTCTCGATTTGTTTCTTATCCTTCTTGAGCGCAGGTTCCTTCTTTGTTCATCTGGGTTTTCCTGCCGCTTTGACTCGGCATTCGGCCTCCCAGTGGCCCTTGCGCTTGCACCAGTTGCACTTGCCTGGCCTAACTTCGACGTTAAGTGCCCGGTCGTCGTTGTTGGAACTCTTGGGGTTCGTAGGGCGACCGATCGAAGGGCAGCCTTGTACTCGGCCTCCAGGATAACACGAACGGTGGCAAGGTTGTTGCTCTGCGTCCACGGCATTGAGTGCACTTAGTGAGCCACAGCGACGGCATCATGTCCAGCAGACGGTCGACGACCATGGAGTCGTGCACGGCATCCCCGCTTGCGCGAAGCTTACGAAGAACGATCTCGTATCGTTCCAGGAACTGCGGACTCTATTATTTGGTGTTCCACTTCATGTTGAAGTATTCGGATAGGGGGGCGAGCCGGTCGACGCGTGTCTTTGGCTCATGGTGTTCGGCCAGCGCACACCATGCATCCATGTAGGTGTCCTTGTCGGCGACATACTGCTGTTGCGATTCGGATCAACAGGTGATCAGTATCCCGAGCGCGTACCCGTTCTGTTCTTCCGTATGCGTAGGTGAATCCCGCATGTATCGCGCGCTTGTAGCTTGCTCGAGGTCATCGTTGGCGGTTTCGAGGTCTTGCCTTGCCGCGAGTCGAACTCCGTCGTCATACACGGCTTTGAGCTTCTTGCTCAACATGCGTCCCTTCAACGCGGTACGCCAGGAGTTCCAGTTGTCTTCTGTTAAAATCCGAAGTGTTGACGCCTTGTCGTCGCTCATGTCACTTGGGCTCATAACTTGTTGAAGCGAGGAAGAGCGAGCTGACATTGTTTCGTGGATGAATTCCCTTTTTACTACGACATGTTCCCGACAAAGACTTTTGCCATAGTTGGAGGATCGTCCAAGTTGACAAGACCCAAAAACACTACGACATGATTACAGCCGTCCTCTCCGTGCGTTCCAATGGTAAAAAGCCACCAATTCTTTTCATCCTGGAGGGCAATTCAGGTGGACCAATCGATAACTTGGAAGTGCCGACATTTCTACCTGGTCATGTTTACGTCGTGCAAGAGAAAGTGTGGATGGATACAAGAGTCTGGGAACAGTATCTGACTGAGCTGCTCAAGTTCGAAGTTGATGGGCCAGCTGTGATTTTTGCTGACATTCTTTACTGTCATGTATCTGTGGCGTCACATGATATGGTGTCGTCTGAATTGTTTAGGTTTTTGGAACCATTGCCCAAGAATTCGACAAGTGTTCTCCAACCTGGTGCCATGGGGCCATTGTAGAGAAAGCTTCGTTACAAGTGGCTTCACGAAAAGTCGGTTTTGTCTGCAGCTGAAAAACGCATGGCTATGGTTAAGAGCACTATTGAAGCCTAGGAGGACATGCCATGTGAAACCATCACTCGCTCATTTGAAAATGTTTTGCCACGGACTCCTGTAATGTAGCTTGTCACTTGAAAATGTATTTCACTTTCGGAATATTTGTTGAAATATTGTACTTCCTCAGTTCCACATTACTTCCGACATTTGGCTTCGAGGTGCCCCCAAAATTGAATTCTTGTCCGAATTCGATGAAACATATGATGTTGAATAGATATTCAAAATCTTGAGGAAAGGTCTATTGACAGCAAGGCGCGAAAAGTAAATCTTGGCGTCCAATTTTCACTTCGCCATCGGGTCTCCGAAAAAAATTTCGAAATGTGAATTTTACAGAATTAATATTTCCGGAACCTGAACATGTCGACATCCATGGCACGGCAACGCACCGGCAGAGAGCT